AGTTCACGATGAGACTCACGATCTAACCAGTTTCACTCACAAAGTTCACGATGGGACTCACGATCTAATCAGTTTAAATCTCAAAGTTCACGATGGGACTCTGATCACACCAGTTCACTCACAAAGTTCACGATGGGACTCACGATCTAACCAGTTTCACTCACAAAGTTCACGATGGGACTCACGATCTAAACAGTTTCACTCACAAAGTTCACGATGAGACTCACGATCTAACCAGTTTCACTCACAAAGTTCACGATGGGACTCACGATCTAACCAGTTTCACTCACAAAGTTCACGATGAGACTCACAATCTAACCAGTTTCACTTGCGAAGGCTACAATGGGACTCACGATCTAAACAGTTTCACTCACAAAGTTCACGATGAGACTCACAATCTAACCAGTTTCACTCACAAAGTTCACGATGAGACTCACAATCTAAACAGTTTCACTCACAAAGTTCACGATGGGACTCACGATCTAACCAGTTTCACTCACAAAGTTCACGATGGGACTCACGATCTAACCAGTTTCACTCACAAAGTTCACGATGGGACTCACGATCTAACCAGTTTCACTCACAAAGTTCACGATGAGACTCACGATCTAAACAGTTTCACTCACAAAGTTCACGATGGGACTCACGATCTAACCAGTTCACTCACAAAGTTCACGATGGGACTCACGATCTAACCAGTTTCACTCACAAAGTTCACGATGGGACTTACGATCTAACCAGTTTCACTCACAAAGTTCACGATGAGACTCACGATCTAACCAGTTTCACTCACAAAGTTCACGATGAGACTCACGATCCAACCAGTTTCACTCACAAAGTTCACGATGGGACTCACGATCTAACCAGTTTCACTCACAAAGTTCACGATGAGACTTACGATCCAACCAGTTTCACTCACAAAGTTCACGATGGGACTCACGATCACACCAGTTTCACTCACAAAGTTCACGATGGGACTTACGATCTAAACAGTTTCACTCACAAAGTTCACGATGAGACTCACGATCTAACCAGTTTCACTCACAAAGTTCACGATGGGACTCACGATCTAAACAGTTCACTCACAAAGTTCACGATGGGACTCACGATCTAACCAGTTTCACTCACAAAGTTCACGATGAGACTTACGATCCAACCAGTTTCACTCACAAAGTTCACGATGGGACTCACGATCTAACCGGTTTCACTCACAAAGTTCACGATGAGACTCACGATCTAAACAGTTCACTCACAAAGTTCAAGATGGGACTCACGATCTAAACAGTTTACTCACAAAGTTCACGATGGGACTCACGATCTAACTAGTTTCACTCACAAAGTTCACGATGAGACTCACGATCTAACCAGTTTCACTCACAAAGTTCACGATGAGACTCACGATCTAACCAGTTTCACTCACAAAGTTCACGATGGGACTCACGATCTAATCAGTTTAAATCTCAAAGTTCACGATGGGACTCTGATCACACCAGTTCACTCACAAAGTTCACGATGGGACTCACGATCTAACCAGTTTCACTCACAAAGTTCACGATGGGACTCACGATCTAAACAGTTTCACTCACAAAGTTCACGATGAGACTCACGATCTAACCAGTTTCACTCACAAAGTTCACGATGGGACTCACGATCTAACCAGTTTCACTCACAAAGTTCACGATGAGACTCACAATCTAACCAGTTTCACTTGCGAAGGCTACAATGGGACTCACGATCTAAACAGTTTCACTCACAAAGTTCACGATGAGACTCACAATCTAACCAGTTTCACTCACAAAGTTCACGATGAGACTCACAATCTAAAACAGTTTCACTCACAAAGTTCACGATGGGACTCACGATCTAACCAGTTTCACTCACAAAGTTCACGATGGGACTCACGATCTAACCAGTTTCACTCACAAAGTTCACGATGAGACTCACGATCTAACCAGTTTCACTCACAAAGTTCACGATGGGACTCACGATCTAACCAGTTCACTCACAAAGTTCACGATGGGACTCACGATCTAAACAGTTTCACTCACAAAGTTCACGATGAGACTTACGATCTAACCAGTTTCACTCACAAAGTTCACGATGAGACTCACGATCACACCAGTTTCACTCACAAAGTTCACGATGGGACTTACGATCTAAACAGTTTCACTCACAAAGTTCACGATGAGACTCACGATCTAACCAGTTTCACTCACAAAGTTCACGATGAGACTCACAATCTAACCAGTTTCACTCACAAAGTTCACGATGGGACTCACGATCTAAACAGTTCACTCACAAAGTTCACAATGGGACTCACGATCTAAACAGTTTACTCACAAAGTTCACGATGGGACTTACGATCTAACCAGTTTCACTTGCGAAGGCTACAATGGGACTCACGATCTAAACAGTTTCACTCACAAAGTTCACGATGAGACTCACAATCTAACCAGTTTCACTCACAAAGTTCACGATGAGACTCACGATCTAACCAGTTTCACTCACAAAGTTCACGATGAGACTCACAATCTAACCAGTTTCACTCACAAAGTTCACGATGAGACTCACGATCTAAACAGTTCACTCACAAAGTTCACGATGGGACTCACGATCTAACCAGTGTCACTCACAAAGTTCACGATGGGACTCACGATCTAAACAGTTCACTCACAAAGTTCACGATGGGACTCACGCTCTAACCAGTTTCACTTAAGAAGTTAACGATGGGACTCACGATCTAAACAGTTTACTCACAAAGTTCACGATGGGACTCACGATCTAACCAGTTTCACTCACAAAGTTCACGATGAGACTCACGATCTAACCAGTTTCACTCACAAAGTTCACGATGGGACTCACGATCTAACCAGTTCACTCACAAAGTTCACGATGGGACTCACGATCTAAACAGTTTCACTCACAAAGTTCACGATGAGACTTACGATCTAACCAGTTTCACTCACAAAGTTCACGATGAGACTCACGATCTAACCAGTTTCACTCACAAAGTTCACGATGGGACTTACGATCTAAACAGTTTCACTCACAAAGTTCACGATGAGACTCACGATCTAACCAGTTTCACTCACAAAGTTCACGATGAGACTCACAATCTAACCAGTTTCACTCACAAAGTTCACGATGGGACTCACGATCTAAACAGTTCACTCACAAAGTTCACAATGGGACTCACGATCTAAACAGTTTACTCACAAAGTTCACGATGGGACTTACGATCTAACCAGTTTCACTTGCGAAGGCTACAATGGGACTCACGATCTAAACAGTTTCACTCACAAAGTTCACGATGAGACTCACAATCTAACCAGTTTCACTCACAAAGTTCACGATGAGACTCACGATCTAACCAGTTTCACTCACAAAGTTCACGATGAGACTCACCATCTAACCAGTTTCACTCACAAAGTTCACGATGAGACTCACGATCTAACCAGTGTCACTCACAAAGTTCACGATGGGACTCACGATCTAACCAGTGTCACTCACAAAGTTCACGATGGGACTCACGATCTAAACAGTTCACTCACAAAGTTCACGATGGGACTCACGATCTAACCAGTGTCACTCACAAAGTTCACGATGGGACTCACGATCTAAACAGTTCACTCACAAAGTTCACGATGGGACTCACGCTCTAACCAGTTTCACTTAAGAAGTTAACGATGGGACTCACGATCTAAACAGTTTACTCACAAAGTTCACGATGGGACTCACGATCTAAACAGTTTCACTCACAAAGTTCACGATGAGACTCACGATCTAAACAGTTTCACTTAAGAAGTTCACGATGGGACTTACAATCTAACCAGTTTCACTCACAAAGTTCACGATGAGACTTACGATTTAACCAGTTTCACTTGCGAAGTTCACGATGGGACTCACGATCTAACCAGTTTTACTCACAAAGTTCACGATGAGACTCACGATCTAACCAGTTTCACTCACAAAGTTCACGATGAGACTTACGATCTAAACAGTTTCACTCACAAAGTTCACGATGAGACTTACGATCTAAACAGTTTCACTTGCGAAGGTTACAATGGGACTCACGATCTAAACAGTTTCACTCACAAAGTTCACGATGGGACTCACGATCTAACCAGTTTCACTCACAAAGTTCACGATGGGACTCACGATCTAAACAGTTTCACTTGCGAAGTTCACGATCGGACTCACAAACTCCCGGTTTCACTCACAAAGTTCACAATGGGGCTTACGATGCCCTCCAGTTTCACTCACAAAGTTCACGATGGGGCTCACGATGCCCTCCGGTTTCACTTACGAAGTTTACAATGGGACTTACGATCCATCGGTTTCACCTACGAAGTTCACGATGAGACTTACGATCCTCCCCCAGTTTCACTTACAAAGAGACCCACACTAAAACTATTTTATTATTTTACCATGTGAGGCCCACTGAGCTATGTAGCTCTTATTCAGAAGCGACCCGATGGTGGCTTCTCATCATCTTCGTCATCACCGTGTGGACGTTTATAGCAGTAGACAAATACTTTGAAGGCGTGGCGATGTTGATTTAAAATTGCATACTGGTGAGTGGGTGAGTTGGGGTGCACGTGGACGAGTGAAAGAGTGGGTGGAGCAGATGAGTGGGTAGGTTGGGTGGGTGGAGTGAGCGTGCGATTGAACGAGTGAGCGGCTGAATTGGTGAGCGAGTTGGTGAGTGGGTGGAGTGACCCAGATCATTCTCATGTAAGCGGCCTAACCCACAGCAACAACGAAACCGGCGTATTCTACTTCGCTAAATTCTGTGGCTGAGCGGGCTAACGAGCGGGCTAATGAGCGGGCTAATGAGCGGGCTAATGAGCGGGCTAACGAGCGGGCTAACGAGCGGGCTAACGAGCGGACTAACGAGCGGGCTAACGAGCGGACTAACGAGCGGACTAACGAGCGGACTAACGAGCGGGCTGACAAGCCGCTACAATGGGTAGAATGCAAAGGAAAATAAACGTACTTACTGGCAACTTCTTACACCAGCGCGGGAGCTACGGGGGTACATTGGAGGCATGCAGCGGGGCGCCAGATAGCAGAGGACAAAACCAAAGCAAGGCGTAAAGTAAAAATACACACAACGCACGTGAACGTACGTACGCACGTGAACGTACGTACGCACGTGAACGCACGTACGCACGTGAACGCACGTACGCACGCACGTCCGTGAACGTACGCACGCACGTCCGTGAACGCACGCACGCACGCGAACGTACGCACGCACGTCCGTGAACGTCCGTCATCCACACCACGGCAGCGGCATTCCATACAGAGGATAGGGCGGTGGTGGTGACGCTGTGGTGGTGGCGGCGGTGCGGTGGCGGCGGTGCGGTGGTGGCGGTGCTGTGGTGGCGGTGCTGTGGTGGTGGTGGCGCTGTGGTGATGTCAACGACGCTATGGTGGTGGCGCTGTGGTGATGTCAACGACGCTATTGTGGTGGTGGTGGTTGCGCTGTGGCGATGTCAACGACGCTATGGTGGTGGTGGTGGTGGTGGCGCTGTGGTGATGTCAACGACGCTATTATGGTGGTGGTGGTTGCGCTGTGGCGATGTCAACGACGCTATTGTGGTGGTGGTGGTGGCGCTGTGGTGATGTCAACGACGCTATTGTGGTGGTGGTGGTGGCGCTGTGGTGATGTCAACGACGCTATTGTGGTGGTGGTGGTGGTGGTGGCGCTGTGGTGATGTCAACGACGCTATTGTGGTGGTGGTGGCGCTGTGGTGATGTCAACGACGCTATTGTGGTGGTGGTGGCGCTTAGTGAAGGTGGCAATGGTAGTGGAGATGGCGGAGGTGCTGTCGTCATGGTGGCGGTGGTGGTGGTTGTGTCGGTGGTGGTTGTGGTGGTGGTGGTAGTTATGTTTGTGGCAATGTTCATGGTGGTGGTGGTGATATTGGCGCTAGCGGTGGTGGAGGTGGTGGCAGTGCTAATGGTGGGGGCGGTGGGGGTAGCAGTGGTGGTTGTGGTGGTTGTGGTGGTGGTGGCAGTGGTGTTAATTGTGGAGGTGGTGGTAGTGGAGGTGGTGTTCATGGTGGTGGTTGTTGTGTTTATGGCTGTGGCAGGCATGATGGTGATTGTGGTGGGTGTATTGATTGTGGTAGTGGAGGTGGTTGTGTTTATGGTTGTGGGGCTCACCTCGTTCATGGTGGTTGTGGTGCATGTTGTGTTGGTGGTGATGGTTGTAGTGGTGGTTGTTGTTGTGTTGGTGGTGATGGTTGTAGTGGTGGTTGTGGTGCATGTTGTGTTGGTGATGGTTGTAGTGGTGGTTGTGGTGGTTGTGGTGGTAGTTGTTGTGTTGGTGGTGATGGTGGTAGTGGTGGTTGTGGTGGTAGTTGTAGTGGTGGTTGTGGTGATGGTTGTGGTGGTAGTTGGTGTGGTAGTGGTGGCTGTGGTGGTTGTGGTGGTAGTGGTGTTTGTGGTTGTAGTTGTTGTGGTGGTTGTGGTGGTAGTTATTGTAGTGGTGGTAGTGGTGGTTGTGGTGGTAGTGGTGGTTGTGGTGGTTGTGGTGGTTGTTGTTGTGGTTGTGGTGGTAGTTGTTGTGGTGGTGGTTGTGGTGGTTGTGGTGGTAGTTGTTGTGGTGGTTGTGGTGGTAGTTATTGTAGTGGTGGTTGTGGTGGTAGTGGTGGTTGTTGTTGTGGTTGTGGTGGTAGTTGTTGTGGTGGTGGTTGTGGTGGTTGTGGTGGTAGTTGTTGTGGTTGTGGTGGTAGTTGTTGTAGTGGTGGTTGTGGTGGTTGTGGTGGTGGTAGTGGTGGTTGTGGTGGTAGTTGTTGTGGTGGTAGTTGTGGTTGTGGTGGTAGTTGTGGTTGTGGTGGTAGTTGTTGTGGTGGTAGTTATTGTAGTGGTGGTAGTGGTGGTTGTGGTGGTTGTGGTGGTGGTAGTGGTGGTAGTGGTGGTTGTGGTGGTAGTTGTTGTGGTTGTGGTGGTAGTTGTTGTGGTGGTAGTGGTGGTTGTGGTGGTAGTTGTTGTGGTGGTAGTGGTGGTTGTGGTGCTAGTTGTTGTGGTGGTAGTGGTGGTTGTGGTGCTAGTTGTTGTGGTGGTAGTGGTGGTTGTGGTGCTAGTTGTTGTGGTGGTAGTGGTGGTTGTGGCGCTAGTTGTTGTGGTGGTAGTCCTCACCTCGTTCATGACTGGTGTCACCGTGGGAGCGGCGATGAAGATGATGAACGGAGCAAACTCGGCCGTCCTCAGCACCTTGAGAGCCTGCAGAGCAGAGGGGTGAGCAGGTGGTGAGCGGTTGGGGAGGAGTGGTGAGCGGGTGGGGAGCGATTGGGAAGGAGTGGTGAGCGGTTGGGGAGGAGTGGTGAGCGGGTGGTGCCATCGTGGAGATGGAACGGATGGATGCCAGTCCACGCTGCTGCTGCTGAAGCTTCTCATGGCCTGACGCTCCACACTGTGAGAGAGGAGCGGCTGATTGTCTCCCTCCATCTCTCTCTCCCTCTCTCCATCTCCCCCCCTCTCTCTCTCCATCTC